CCAAAACGCTTCCCATCTCCCATTTGGTGCCTCATTCCATATTAATTAGCTTCACTAAATTAGGCAAAATCTCTGTATTATTGACTTATACAACTTATTTTCTGAAGTATTGGGAGGATAATGCACACAGAGCAAAATGAGCATAAACTAACAAGATTTCAGTGCATGTGCATGCGCGTGATTTCGATAATTTCCATATACATCATCTCATGGTTTTATAAAATACAGAGCTACATTTTAGATTTCAAAGAATTTAACTAAAACGTATAAAGTTACAGCAACCCGCATACTAACCAATCGGAATCCAAGCACATGTGCATTTGGAAGAGGTGCCCACATCATCATAACTATGCACTTAGTTGAAGATTTTCAAAGAATTAACACATTTTCACTATATCATCAATAGACCTCACGACCACCACCAAAACTCCTGACCCTGGAACCATGCACAGGCTTTAAAAAAATTGTAAGAAGCACCCTTGTTCATCATAACTATGGATTTTATTTATCTGCTCAACATTAAAGAGCGGATAGGATTATTTAACAGAATAAATGCATTTTCACTACATTATCAATAGAGCCCCACCCTTAAACCAGAACTTCTGAACCAGGGGCCATGAAACTCACGATTGCTCATCATAAATATACACTTATTGTTTCTTTGCTTTTTAACCAGGAGCAGAAAATAATATTTTCAAAGAAATTATGCTTTTTCACTTTATAATCAATGGAGCCCCCCCCCCTCCTCCTTTCACCAGAACTTCCAACCCTGGGGCCATGAATTTTTCAATTTTGAAAGAGCCATCCTTGCTTGTCATAACCATGCACTAAGTTGTTTAAATAATACCCAAGAACTGAGAAGAAGATTTTCAAAGAAATACTACCGGTAGTAACACATTTTCACTATAAAATCAATAGAGGCCCGCCCTAATACCACACACCCTGGCCCAGGGGCCATGAAATTCACAATTTTGGAAGAGGCATCTTTCCTCATCATAACTACATACTTAATTTATTGGCTTAATAACCAGAAAAACTGTCATTCCACTCCTTGTACGAGCACGAACGTGCTCGCAAGTGCATGCATATGTGCACTGACCATGTTATCTTGTCTATCGTTATATTCCGTACGGAAGCGTATTTGTGCCTCAATTTTTTTTTTTCAAGTTAGTAATTCCAACTTTAAAGCTGGTTTTTCCAACTTTAAAGTTGGTAATTCCCACTTTAATTTTGGCTTTTTTCAACTTTGATTTGAACATATTTTATTATTTAACACAAAAGGATCAGAAACAAGTTCTTACAACTTACAAGTTCTTCTGCTGGTGTAAGTACAGTTAATACAGTTGGTACTATTGTCACAATAATAACATAGAAACTAATATTGGCAAGTGGCATAAATACATGTAAATTGAAATATTAATCAAATATCTTCCAGATTCATTAATGAATTCGTGAACAGCTGAAAAAATAAAGCAGTTCAATCATAAGACAAAGTATCACTACCCCATGGCAACAAATGTGTGTCTATTAGGATAGTTTCTTCCAGTCTAGAAATTTTATCGAAAAGATTGTTTCTTGCTTTAATAGTTTATCTCTTACAAACAAAGAAAAAATGATAAATATCTTCATTCTGACCACAAATACAATTTAATTGGAGAATCAATAATATTTCGTCTTTAAAGATCATAATTTAGCAAACAATTGTGTCTTAATTTGGTGTGTATAATATTGATAGATATACGTTTACCAAACGAAAAATATTTCGGGGGTTTAGAAATTATTTCGGAGATATTTTTAAGCCCCCGTAATCGAAGATTCGGGGGCATATAGTTTTTGCCCTGTTCGTCCGTCTGTCTGTCTGTCTGTTTGTCCGCAAAAACTTTAACCTTGTCCATAACTTTTGATTGGTTGGAGCTATGGCTTTCATATTTCACACGTGTATTCCTTGTGACAAGACCTTTCTTTGGGTATCATCATATTTGACCTTTTGACCTTGGATTTTGACCCACTTTTGCAAAATTTTTTGAGACTATTACCTTGGCCCTAACTTTTGAACAGTTGGAGCTTAGGAGCTTAGGCTTTCAAACTTCACATGTGTATTTCTTGTGACAAGACCTTCCTTAGAGTACCAACATCTTTGACCCTTTGACCTTAACCTTGGAGTTTGACCTACTGTTGATAAAACCTCCTTTTAAAAAATTTAAACCTTGGCCATAACATTTGAACCTTTGGTTCTACGGCTTTCACATTTCACGACCATGCGTATCACTTGTGACAAGACCTTCCCTTGGGCACCATTTGATCTTGCCGTTTTACTTAATTTGTAAAAAACTTTAACCTTCGCCATAATTTTTCAACGGTTTGTACTAGGGCCTTCATATTTCACAGGTATATTTCTCGAGACAAGACCTTTCTTTGGGTACCAACTCTTTTGATTTTTTGACCTGGAGTTTGACTTGCATTTGAGAAATTTTAACCTTCGCCATAAGCTGCCATACGGGGGCGTCAGTGTTTCACAAACACGTCTTGTTCTTGATTGTTTTGAAAGAAGTTGTTTCTCCGTCTTCTAATTTCAGTGAGTTCCATTTTCGAATAGTGTCAGGTACAAAAGATTTTTTGTAAAGTTCTAATTTACTTATTGGAACCTTGTAATCTTTATTGTTTCTAATTTTAGGAGGAATGATACTTCTTAAGTACTCGGGTACTTGACTAGTGTGAATTTTGAACATAGTTATTAACTTAGTAGTATGACGACGTTTGACTAGAGGTTTCCACCCTGTCTCTAAGTAAAGAAATTCTTTCGATGCTAAAATTGGTAAACCAGTAACAATTCTTGCTGCACTTAACTGAACCTTTTCTAGCTTATCCATTTTAACTGGTCTAATAAATGCGATATAATTTTAGATAATTTTTTTTCTGCCAAGGGTAAATTTGAGTTTCTTTAAGAGGTCTAATTTTTTGTACGCACTGCTTACAATATTACCGATATATTCAAACCAGCCCAACCATTCAGAAAAAGGTAAACCAAGATGACGATGGGTCGTAACATAATCCAGCTGATTTCCTTGAAAATATGATTTAGGATATTCTTCTACATATTTCTTTGTGAAAAAACAACATTTGTCTTAGACGGATTTAATTTCAATAACCATTTATCTGATCAGTCACCGAGTATTTTCAAATCATGATGTCATTCCACGCGCACGAACGTGCTCGCAAGTTGTGCACTGACCATGTTACAGCATCTTATTCCGTATAAGTGCCACTAATATTGTTTAAGTGGGTAATTTCAACTTTAAAGTTGGCTTTTCCAACTTATAAGGTGATTATTTCAACTTTAATCTTGGCTTTTCCAACTTTGAAGTTTCGTAATTCCAACTTTAGTCTTGGCTTTTCTAACTTTAAAGTTGGTAATTCTTACTTTAATCTTGGCTTTTCCATCTTTGAACGGCACGTGCATGCTGACCATGAAACCTTATCTACGCTATTAATATAATAATCTTTATATTCTGAGTAACAAAGCAATTCAGTCAAAAAAATATAAAAGTTACGGCTATATGTAGTATGTTGGTCATTTTACTTCAGTTTTTTTTTTTTAAATATTTTTTCAAGTAATAACAAATAATTGTTATACTTCCTCATTTTTAATATTATTATTTACATAAAAGGATCGGAAAACAAATTAAGGTTAATAAGTATGTGGCAACCCCGCCCCCCTTTTCCAGCTGACATGTTATTTCTTCAATTTTTTAAATTTAAAAAAAAAAAAAATTTTTTTTATCTTTTTAATACCTTTTGAAATTCAATCCATTTATATCGGGCACAAAATTTGATTTATGAAAGATTTTGCACAACTCTATGACGTCAAATGTGGGTGTCGATAACCATAAGCAGTTTTTTGTGCTTTTTATGCCCCCGTATCGAAGATTCGGGGGTATATAAATTTGCCCTGTCCGTCCGTCTGTCTGTTTGTCCGCAAAAACTTTAACATTGCCCATAACTTTTGATTGGTTGGAGCTATGGCTTTCATATTTCATGTGTGCATTCCTTGTGACAAGACCTTTCTTTGGGTACCACCATATTTGACCTTTTGACCTTGACCTGAGTTTGACCTACTTTTGAAAAACTGTAACCTTGGCCATAACTTTTGAACCGTTGGTGCTAGGGCTTTCATACTTTACATTTGTAATCCTTGTGACAAGACCTTCTTTTGGATACCAACAATTGTAATCCATTGACCTTGACATTTGACCTACTTTTGAAAAACTTAAATCTCGGTCATAACTTTTGAACGATTGGTGCTTCAGTTTTCATATTTCACCTGTATATTTCTTGTGAGAAGGCCTTTCCTAAGGCACCATTAATTTTGACCATTTGACCTTATTGTTTGGCTTACTTTTGAAAAACGTTAAACTTTTCTATATCTATTCAATGGTTGCTGCTAGGGCTTTCATATTTCAAAGGTATATTCCTCGAGACAAGACCTTACCTTGGGTACCAACATATTTGATTTGCATTTGAGAAAGTTTAACCTTTGCTACAAGTTGTCATACGGGGGCACCAGTGTTTCACAAACACATCTTGTTTTTAGAGACAGAAAAGTTGTATTTCTGTTTTTTATGCATCAGGTGTACACATAGCGAAATCATGAATGCAAATACATGCCAATTCGAATAAAAAATGCTATTAATTATTCAACCAAATGAAATAAACAAAGACAAACTTAATAAAGACATAATATTATACAAATATATTGCATAAACATTTGTATTATTACACAAATCTCCCACTATCTCATTTATTAGACAGTGAATGTGAAATTTATTTTTAAACTAAAAACATTAACTACTGTGTATAAAAAAGAATAAATATCAATCAGGTGTTAGCAGTTTCAGTAAAAACTTCATAATTGATTTTAAAAAAGAAATTTTTATAAATTATAAAATAATAATAAAAAAGTTTCTATGAGACCCAATTACAAATCATTTTCACAATGTTTTAATGAGAAACTGATTTTAAAAATGATAATAACACGAACATGATTTTCATTGATCACAAAACATTAAAGCTGTGGAGAGAAATAAATGCAAATAAGATATATTTTAGACCAATTTAAGTCATTTGGATGTACACAATTTTTAGAATATGTGGATAAAAATGTTACAGAAACTGTTTTAAATAAGATTCCCCAGTTTAAACAAACAAAAGATTATAAAGTTTACAGTGTACCAGTAAGTGGACTAATTCACTCTTAATTCTTTATCGTTATGATCCAAAACTTTGACAAAAATTCTGTGACAATTTGCAGTAATTATACACACTTATACATTAACAAAACATTTATAAAACATATCATTCAACCAAATGGTAATTAGCATGATTAGAACTCACATTTACAGAACAAATAAATTTGTTAAACATTTATTCTTCCTTTCTAAACATGGCATAATAATTTCAACACCAGAGATAATATTACTTTTATCAAGAGCAACTTTTACATCTTAAAACTAATTCAGTATCCCAATTGAAGTACATTAAACCCAGTCTAACTACAAATAAATGTCAATATACATGTACTTATATGTATATCTATAATTCTGTTTTCTCAAATACAAACCCAGGAAATTGCCCAATTTCTGTATTAGTGCCATTGATTCCATTCTCATCAGGAATAAATGTGAAACTGACATCATCTACAGTAACCACTTCCTTTCCTGTTCTGCCATAATAACTTGTGGGGCCCTTCATCACCATTTCAATGGTGTAAACATTATCTGCCTCAAATTTCATTGGCGGTTCAATCTTCAACAGATGGACCTTTTCCCTTCCATCAGACACAATTTCTTTATTGGGAATGGATTTTTTCACTGTGCCATCTTCCTTTATTTTCATGTCCACTTTGTAGGTTGCTTGTCTCTGATGGCTCCCATACAGCCAGACTCCATGTAATTTTCCAGAATGACTAGGAATTATTGATATGGAATCAGGATTATCTCTTAAATATGCCTTTCCACTCAAAATACCTCCAAACCTCCATATCGTTATTCTACCCATTTCATCTCTGAAATCATTTGGTAATGGCTGGGCACCTGTTGGCAGTTCTGCAGACTGTCTCCTAGCTGGCTGTGCCCGGTTATTGTTCAGATGGTTATTTCCCCTTGGAGGAATGGGAGTTGGGCCTTGGCGTCCTGTTGCCAGTACATGTTCTGAAGAGCTTGCTGGATCTGTCTCCATTTGAGGTAAGGATTCTGAGGAGGTTAGAACAGATCTTGAGAGATTTTCTGATGTGCTGGTAGAATCTGCTTCATGTGCACTGACAGATCTTTCAAGAGCCAGAGGTGCTGATTGACCTACATTTCCTGCTCTTCCTGCTGGTGCTGAGTGTGATGGTTGTGAATTGCTGACTAACTTTTGAAATACACTGATGATCTGATTTTGCTCTAAAATACCTCTATTTGAAACATTTTTAGTGAAATAACCCAATGACATTTCTTCAAACTTAATGCAATTCACAACTGGGGCAAGTAGGGCTTTCAAGTTTGTATCATTTACTTCCTTTTGCTGTTGTCTGCATTTACTCTCTGCCCAAACAACTGCTACCTCATACTTTTTCTCCTCTGATACTCTCAATTTATCACTTTTCATAATGTCAATTAAACAACTTTGGGGTAATTCTAAAATTCCCTCAGTCTCTAACAAATCATAAGCATATCTATAAAAGTAGTCTAATGCACTATTTTTCACATCGTTGTTTCCCACATCATATGCCATCTTTAGAACGGGACACACATTTTCTCTAGAAAGTTCTGCTTGCATTTTAGAAAAGCATGTTTTCTTTAGATCTTCAATTTTGAATTTACTGGCAGCTTGGAACAGTTTCATTGTTGAGCGATTGTCAAACTCAACATCATCAGTGTATATAAACCTTAAAATATACAAGATAAAAATGTTAAAATATGCACCAGTGATAATATATGATGATTAAAGAAAATAAAAAGAAAATAAATTCAGGATTTATATAATGGTTTCAAAGATCATAATATATATTAGTATCAGTGAATTAATTCATCACTTGACTGACAGTCATGGAAGTTGCTTGTCTTAAAATTAGCTGCAATAATGTAGCCCTCTCCCTTTCTTTTTTTCTGGGAGAGGGCTACAACTCCTTAGGATCTCCGTAATGGTGCAAGTGCGGGAGTGATTCACTCCCGCACGGATTTCGGATTAAATTATCAGTAAATGGCTATTTAATTAACATTTCTTACCTGAACTCCAAAAATGTAGTTATGCAAAACATAAATCAATCCAAACATACACAGAACAATCCATATATCGGTTATTTTTCGTGTATGTCAACATCACAACTTGAATTTATCCGCCATGTTTACTGACCTTGATCGATCTTATTTTGGGACAGCAAATGAGACTAGGGATCTTTAGGGAGCGGATATCTGTAGGAATTACCTTATTTTAGGCAAAAATATCACTGTTTACGAAAAAATGTCACATGGAATAGTTTTATTTATCAATATTTAGTGACGTCATACAGCACAATCATTTAGTAACCCCGAAAAACTACTTTACAAAGTAATTTATAATTTTCAAGCGCAAGTCTCAGTGCATCACGTGAGAACTGTCATGGCTTCTGATGAGAGCGACTGGGAAACAAGCAGATTTATTTTATCTGGTTTTCGCGTTTAACGGGCTATGTTGTTGACAGTGAATAAAAATTTCGCCTTTTTAGAAGTAAGTTGAATGTAAAAACAATTTATTTTGCCTGCATTCGCCCTTATTTAAAAAATATATTTGCACCATTACAGAGATGTTGTGGAATTGTAGCCCTCTCCAGAAAATATCAGATAAAAAAAATCGGAGAGGGCTACATTATTGCAGCTAGTCTTTAAATAAGACTTACTGATGAAAGGAATTAGCAGCTGATAAAAAAAAAATGCCATGGCCAAAGAAGGAAAAGCAAAGCTGAAACGCCCAACTCATCAACTTTTTGTAACAATGTAACAAAGAAGATTTTGCCCTTCATCTTTAATATCCTGCTTGTAAATGAATAATTTACTCACATCAACATTTTTCGAATTATATCAGGTTCAATATCTGGGATATTGATTTCCATTAAAGTTCTCTGGCTTGTAAGTTTAGAATGGAAAACTGCACTGCGACTTATCAGCATGTATTTGTGGGCTTTAATCTTTTCCCTCCCCACAGCAAGTGTAACATCACACTCTACTTGATGCTCAAGCATGTACTTATTGCATTGTAACACAGTCCGGCCCGTGCGCCAGTCCGTGTTTGCACTCAAAGCCATTTTGTTGAAGAGAAGTAGACTTATATTTCTAACATATAAAACTTTTGCTAACAGGAAGGACCCAGCATCTGAAAATATAAATGTAACAATTTGAGGACTTTAATAGTTCATAATATTTACATAGCTTACTTAAAATAAAAACAATGTAATCTCAATAATTGAGAAAGATTTTGCACTGTCATTTTGATGAAATGGATGAAAATAATCTCGGATCATATACGATTTTCCAAACAGTATTTGTATTTTTTGTTTGCTTGAAATCTTGTTTTGCTTTGATCTTTCAAAACACATACACTGCATACCTAACTCATGTAAGTAAAACTTCTGTTTCCTCCTTCTTATACATGTACCTTTATCTCCATACCCTATTTGTTAAAATAGTTGCTCTGATGTAAATGACAAAGAAATGACAGGTTTTATTTTTTGTTTGTTTGTTTTTTAGAGCGGATTGTATCAGTTTGTGACATTTCGAAGTTTGCAAATTAGCACACGTGTATATATCTTTTATACTGGATACATACTCATCTATGCATTGCAATATTCGTTATTTTGTAATTCCTTGAAAATAACATTGACTCTCAATGAGTACGTAGTAATCATATCTTAAATTCTGATCAATATTGAGAGTAATGCATTTAATTCGGATTTGCAGACAAAAACGTCAATCTTTGTAGAAAGAAGTCTACTTTCGTTTTGATTAATGCTTGATTCCTTTATGCTTTATGTTGTCATTTATCTTTTATTCTACATCGCATAACAACTCACCTCAACAAATCATATAAAAATATTATGATTCTGCTTTTTCTCGTGGAAGTCAACGAGTCAGTACTTCATTCTAGGAACATCAAATCATTGAAAATATTGTTCTTTAATTTTTTTTAGAGGTTCGCCATGTTGCTTTTCAAAGGAAGATAACTCGAATATTGATATAAGAAAGGGAAGAAAGGGAAATATTTTCCCATTGCTTTTCATTTGCTAATGATTTAGTTCAAAAGCTTACATTTGGGGGAAAAAAAAAACAAGTCATCTCTCCGTGATTTGAAAATGTTATTTGAACTCAATAAAACGAACAAACACTATTTAAAATATTAATAATATTAATAATTAATTATTTATAATTATTAATTAAAATATATAAAAGTTGAGAGAAGACCGAAAGACCATGAAAATGAACTTTTTCCTTTTAAAAAATCACATTGTGTAAATGCGCTATTAAATTAATTATTGATTTAAAAAATCTATTAAATTAATTAATGTTTTAAAAATCATTTCCAGTTTGCTGCGACGATAATACATGTATAATATGTGATACACAAATATATGATACATGTATATGTGTTTGCCAGTAAACTGAACAAGGAAATGATAAGTTTAAGTCCGATCGTCGAACGCAGCATTTTTTTAAATCGAGTCCCCTGAGAGCGAAAGCATGGATGTTTTCACCGCCCATTGATTTTTTCTTTAATTTTTTCTATAATAATTCTATTTTTTATTTTCATTTAACTTTACCCTAAGAAATCGCAATAAGACTTATTAAATATCAATTACATTTTTTGACGAGGTACATGTATTAATTCATAATGTGTGTAATATTTTTCTCTACGTGAGTAACTTTCGTAATTATGTCCAGCTCAGTGTTGTCAGCCGTCCAATTCGTCCGCTTAACTGGGCATTAAACTATGAAAGAAGAACGATTTCTGCAAATTAGAGATCAAGTACGTATCCATGTTTCATAGTTAAGTTTCAAAAAATCGAAATATCAATTTGATGAAAGAGCGTCAAAGTATAAAATACGATGTACATGGTAGTACTTTATTCTCTATTGAGAAGTTGATGGCTCGTTTAATACTCCCCTTGAGGGGGAGTATTAAACGAGCCATCAACTTCTCAATAGAGAATACTGAGGTAGTACTTAAGCCTCTGTTAACTATAGTTAGCTAGATAGAAAAATTCGTATTTAGGCTGCTCGGTTTACTTTTCACTATTAAATTATTAGTTTAAATTAGAAAATTTGAAACATAATGGTTTCATTGATGTAATGACCCCCCCCCCCCCTTTGGGAGGGGGGGGGGGGTTGGTTCATGGTCAATATTGCAAAAGTTTGTTCACGGCGTAACAATGCCACAAGACGTCACAATATTAGCTGACGTCATAATACTGCTAAGCATATCTTTTGTATATCGCAACAACAAAGTTGGGTGTAATACCATGGGTTGCTTCAGCAGCAAAGTTGCGCCTTTCCCTCCTGTTGATCGTGTCCGAAACAAGAAGGAGCGGAAAATGTTGAAAAAGATTCTGAAAATGCAGGGCATTAAAGCAAAAGTGTCGAAAAGTGGGGTTGCTTTTGATATTCCAGTCTCAAACGATTTCAGAAGGCCAAAGCTTCCCCCTACGCGTATCGGAATCAGTACAAAGCAAAGTTCACACAACCACCTCTCAACTCCTGGTGTGAATTAAATTGGTCTAGGGCGTAAGTTTTATGTATTTACATGCGTATCAATAAACAATCTTACAGTTCTTACGTATACGACATTTATCTACCGCATTTCTTGGTGAATTTTTTCTACTAGTAATATAATAATATTTTTTCAGGAGAAAAGACAATTCTTCAAAGACTTGAAGAAAAACAAGAAAAGGCTAGACTAAGAAGAGAGGAACAACAGAAGGCAATGAAAGAAAAGATGAGACGCCAATCTCTCAAACGTCAAACAAACTATAAAGTTGGTGTTTTGTTTCATCTATTAGATTTATTACAATGAATCAATATGAATAAAATTGTTTTTGTTAATTTGTATTTTTTTATGTTAACGTCTGCTGGTCAACATATTACAACTGTTGTGAGGAAGATGGATCTAACATTTATCGGCCACTGCAGCGGCCGATCTATTTGTGGTTGTGCTATAAAGTGCTCATGTGGAAAGAGACGTTATTTCTTTGTTAGTTCAGTAAAATAATTCTTAAATGATAACATGTATAAAATCATGAAATCAAATATTTTATAAACTTTATAATTAAAAAAAAAAAAATCAATATTTATGTTTTTAATTAGTGATTTTGAAGGAATGGAGAAACTAATTATTCTTCTTGTTTGTTTTTCATTTCTGGGCACGGACTAAATCACGAGATGGTTAATTAATCCCTTGAAAAGTTCATGGCTTGTGGTTAAAATATTTGGAAAACACTATCTAAAAATTTCTTTCAATGAATTTTGAAATCTCACCTCCTGTGGCACAAACACCTCCAGAATGAAACCGCCACATGACGGCTGCTATATATGCTGTGATGCGAGGGGAAAAGGCACTGCAACTGCTGTTGCTAGTTTACTTGTCATGGGCCTTTTGTGAATTTGTCACATTTTTTCTTTTGGCAAAACATAGTTTCGTTCAAATATTCTACTAAACCATAATAAGAAATGAAAAAAAGGCCCTAGATGTGCATGAAGTCTGTTAGATTGTTTCTAAATTCCATATGCAACATGAAGTATACGACTTAAATCTGTTATGATTTTCTGAAAAATAAAAGAGACATTAAGAAGCAAGATTTTTATTTATTATTGAAAATTAACAATGACTACAAATCATCATAGGCAATTTTGACAAATAATTGCACATTTTAAAAAGCACCAGATGACAGAAATAGTATTACAATGTATTATAAAAATAGCATTGATTAAACAGGGAGTGATCTACACCCCATATTTCTGTTTGATCCACACCTCTTTTGAGTCCCTAATCTCTAATGAACTAGCAACAAATGAAAAATCCAGAACAAAAGGGAAACACTGAAGGTTGTGGACAATGGAATCTGTGCTGAGCTATTGAAAGAAATGTCAGGGTTGCCTAGTGATTATTTAAAACAAACATGGCCGAGAAAGACCAAATGAAGACTACTTCAGGCTTTAGAAAGCATCAACTATTCTGAAGAAAAAAAAATCAGATATGTGTGCAAGCTCATGATGTAAAAATAATCTGTACAAGTATGTAGTTAAAGAGGGAAAAAATGGCAATAAAACTGACAAAGAGGTAGGCAGCAATTGTGTGCACATGTTCACTTTTTCCCATATTTGGTATCAAAAAGTTAAAGTATAAATTAGATTTCATTAATATATATATATAACTTATAATCAGGATAATCTCAATATAAATAAAAAAAAATTATGCACCTGTTTTACCAGCTGTCAGAATATACATGTCAGCTGTACAAATATAACAGAATAACCTAATTTAATGTGGTAGAGTGCAGTAAAATTTGTAAAGATTTATACACAATAGAAATGGTACAAAATCAGAATCTCATAAACACTGCCATTGTGGTATCTTTAATTTATTAGCTGTATAAACAAAATTTTTCTTCTTTCCAACCCCCCCCCCCCCCCCCCCAAAAAAAAAAAACTTTGAAAATGAATTACTGGAAAAATTGATAGGGATTTTAATTTTGTGTGTAATAGTAATTAGTAATAAGTATTGTATGTTATTATAAATAAAAAGGTTAGACAGCCTACTGTTTTTTGTGTTCCAGTAACACCTTCATTAAAGCATTTCTATCTTTTTAAACATTCCCAAAGATTTTTAAAAATCTGATATTATCTGCAGTAGGCCCTTTGTACTAAGATATGCCAAACATCAGGTCCAAAGACCATAAACTAAGAACAGACTTAAAGTCCACAATTTTAACTTATACATGTATAACTTTTGAAATAGTTTAGACATTTAAACAAAATTTTCATAACTTTGAATATGAATATTTTAAAAATATGTAGATTTTTAAACACCTAATGTTCAAAATCAAAATTTTAACTTTAAGTCTCTTCTCAGTTTATGGCCATGAGACATGGGATATGTTGAGGGCCAGTCTGCAGTCTCCTACTCATATCCGAGTCTGAACTTCAATATCCAGAACACTTGGATATCCTGACTTTTTGTATGTGCTGCAATGTGCAACTTTAATAAATTGCTGGAATTCTATTTACATTTTATATTTTAAATACCCTTTTTATTTTCCTTGAAGGTACACGTTTTATTTATATCCTAATCAGAAAATGCTGAGCTTCTAGTACATAATGTATCCAAATTGACGAATTAATCAGGATAATAAATAAAGTGTGTTAAAATGGTAATTCTTGTGAATAAATAGTCAAATAAAAAAACTTGTTTCTTCCTTCCTACAATTTTGTGATGGTACATGTATTGGCAAAACAATTGCTTGTCTTTTGAAGTGTCATTCTTTGAGAAAAAATACTCCCAGTACTAAATCTGTGGTTGATATTTTTATCAAACTAACATACTGTAATAATAATTAAGCACCATAATCTCTGCGGTGGAATGAAATCAAGTTAGAAAAAATATCTGTAATACCGTAATATTTTAAATTGGAGGTATACATGTACAGAAATCTGTAGTTTGATAGCAATGAATTTTTTTTTTCAGAAAAAAATAAAATGTTTTACACTTATACTACAGAATAAGTTCTCAGCCAAGAACAATTTAGCCTACATTGAAGAAATCCTGGAATAGTGGCCAATAATGGGTATATTGTCTCTTTTATGTAACAGTATATCCAAATATGAATAAGATAGCCTTCCTTTAAAATTTACTTGTTGCAAATAACAAACTGTCAGATTCACATTTCAATATTAAAAGTAATTGCAAATAAATTGCAATTAATAGTAATTAATTCAAAATGGTAATTCACTGACATTTGAACTTTAACTTCATTTTTACATATATTCATGCAATCATTACACACACGTATAACATTATTCACCAATTGTTAACAAGTTTCACATATATTATCAATAATATAATGCATTAAAACATACATATAACAAGCGAGAGAAAAAAAACCAAAACAAAATCACACAGTCACATT